CGCGTTTCCAGGAAAGGGCGGTGAAGGCTTCGAAGAAACCGCCATCGGTGTCTTGAACACTGAAAGAGGAATAAGAAATTAATAAAAAAAATATTTTGTTGAAATTGTTGGAGGTTGAACCGTTATACTCGTTCTATTTTTTGTCCCTGTTTTTGGGACGTCATAACCTCAAATGTTGTTAGACATTTGACGTTTCGTATCACGTGACAAAACGATCTCGACCAATCACATCAACTAGTTTCAAATGACCACATCAATAGCCAATGGCCAATCAGTAATTGTGGCGTAACGCACTCCGTTGCATCTTCGCTGATTTACTCCCTAGTCGCGCCTAAAACAGTTTTATCTCAAAAATACTTTACAACTGGACCTGGTGATGTTCTACATTAAAATAGTTTCATATTATCCTTAATTCTATTCAATTCAAAACTTTTATCCTTCCTCATTTATTTTCCTTTCTTTTCTTCACTATTAAAGTCATACTTTTATTATGACGATTCGGCTAATCTCTTTCTAAATTAAGGCAAAAGTTTTATCTGCAGGATATGTACATAACTAAATGCCTTCTAAAGGAGAGAGATTAAAAGGATTCAGAGAAATTCAGAGAAGTTGTTTCATTCATTACAGGAAGAGGATTAAATTAGTCCTTTGCGGGAATTATGTATTATCTCGGAGGAGGATTTATTAGAACGTTAATACGAGAATAGAATATTCATATTGATCCTTATGGAAAAATTTATTATGGTAAATGATCAGGTGAAAATAATTTACACGGACGTCATATATTTAATAAACAGCTTTTTATCAATTTCATAAAGCACCTAAAGATAAGATAGAGTGGTTTTAGCAAATATTATTTATTTGCAATATATTATATTGGTTAAGTGCTTTTAGACAAATATAAAGTGCTTTTGTGTTTAATATTTAACTTCCCGAAGGAGAAGTTTATGTTTTCGTCAAAAAATTTGATACGCTAATTCTATGTATCCTTGACGTTTAAAGAAATTCTGAATCGAATAAGACCAACATTTGGAAAAAGTACGAATGTGTGTATGTGTGTGCACTAACCGATTTTTTGCTCGAAATCGACGATTTCTCAAAAACGACTCGACCGATTTCAAAAATTTAAAAGCCATTCGATGTATCTCCATGAGGACTAGCGTTTATGAATTTTGCGCGACAATCAGCCAAACCGTTTCTTTGTAAATCGCAAAAAAGTGAAAAAAATTCGTCCACGTTTTAGTCCGCAATTCTGACTCGATTCTGAAAATTCAAAAACCGTTCGAAAGATATTAGTTGGATTAGTTTTAGTTAAAAATCTACTGAACCGTTTTCTTGTATTCTTAGTTGAAAAAAAATTTAAGCCGATTTTTATGAAACTTTTGATTGATAATTTATATATATATATATATATATATATATATATATAATATATATATATATATATATATATATATATATATATGATAGTTTTGTCGACGTTGATACATATTTGTAATATTTTTGCAGCCCAATCGTCGAATTACAAAAAGATTAAATAACAAAATTATTTATTCCATTAAACGTTTCGACACTTGATATGAGTCATCATTCAGTAATCAAACCAGGAAAAACAACAGAAAAAAATAATTATGATGTAAAATACATTGAACACTAAATTTGTGTAAAATAATAATATACTATTATATTTACAAACGAGAAATTGAAGGAGCACATATTGCCCTCCTATATTTTATGTTATTAATAGCGGTGCATTATGGACACTGTTCAAGGTTACAACGCAAGTGACTTGCGTTATACTTTAGTATAAAATTCAATTTTTTTGAACTGTAAAAATTTTGTTTTGTGATTAATGGTAAATTCAATATGTCGCTTTTTCATTATGATCTATAATGTTTTGAGAAAGTTTTGGTATCCGAACTAATTTGGTAAGCAAATCAAATAAATATAAATTATAAATCTATTTATCTAATAATTTTCATCAATATCTTGACAAATGTCATTTCACATTTTTTTAATGTCAACATTCATTTAAATTTATAAACATTGATTTTTGATTAGATTTAAAACTATAAACAGTGATTTTGAATATATAGCATTTCACCTAATTTGAATATATCTATATATGTTTATGTTTTTGAATTATATTTTTTTAACTGTCAAATGTTTTTTTAAAAATCATAAATCTTTTTTTCTCGAATTTTACATAAATATTGACATTTGTCATTTTAGTGTTTTGTTTTTTTTAGTAAATATTTGTCAAAATTTATCGTCATTTATAAAAATTATATATTTATATTTTAAATGTACTTTTCAAAACTTCTTATAACCTAAGTTGGATACATATGCACACGATGAGCCAATAAAATTCAAAATCGGTTCAGTAGTTTGGGCGTCCATCGCGAACCAACATCGTGACACGACGTTTATATATATATATATATATATATATATATATAATATATATACAATCAAACTGATATATAGATATTTTTGATGATATATCATGGTCTTATAAAACTTACTGAAATATTGCGGCCTTACGATAAGTAGCTTAATTTTAAAAATTCATCAAAGTTTGAGAAAATGAGTAGTTTTTTTATGTTTGTTAAAATTTAAATTAGACAATTTACTTGGTATAACAATAGAGTACTTGGTCTTTATAAACAAACTAAACCATTAAAGTCCTATAGAAACTGGTTCATTTATAAAATTATTGATTTGTGAAAATTTGCTTTTAGAAAATACTCCGAGTTAGCGTGTTTGTTCGTTTTCAATAATGTGTAATAAATCCACACGGAATACTTTCAATCACTCATAAGTTAATTTATTTTCTATTTATTAAGTCGATTATTTTAACATATCGGGGAGTTCGTATAACTTGCCTCAAGGCAAATACCAATACCTACTAGTTTTTCAATTATTTTATGATTTTATATTTTTTCCCGTGGTTTTCTCATTTTCAACTACTCAATTTTGTATTTAATCTTTTACTGTCTGTGAATACCCAACATCTGTAGATCAAAGATTTGAATATTTTACAAGAAACCCTTTTCCGATTAAATTGGGATAAAGGTCTGGGGCTGTTCTTGTCTATTTCGTTAATAAAGCACTCAAAGAGGTTGTATCGCAAAATCGAATCATGAATATAAAATATTCGGTGGTAAGTTATTGTAATCGTCTAAAATTTTGTACATTTCTACACGTTTCAGAGATTTCTGAACATTTTGGCATACCTCAGGAAAAATAGATGTGTGCACAAACTGAAAAACAAGTTTGATCTGTTATTATTAGGTTTCAATTTTTTTTTTTGTTTCTTCAAATAGACGTTCAAAAGGAAATATATTTTTTTACTTACATCTATATTTTAACGTACATTTTGCAATCATGATAAATAAACAAATAATACAGATCGTGGATGTAATATAAATCCTAAATTTGTATTATTTTCATATGTCGTAAAGTACATGGATACAATTTGTTGTTCACGTCTTCGGGCGCATGGATTTGAATGGTTCAAATAACATTCGATTCCTATTGATAGGGAGATGTGCTGATTAGTTTTTGCCAAGGGCAGGTCCAGCCGTTTCGGAGATACGGAGCACAGAGTGCAGAAAATAAAAATCGAGTTTTTGACAGAACGAATCATCCGATTTGTATGATCCAAAAAACATTCAGTTCGTAATGACGGGGAAAAGTGGTTATTAGTTTTTGGCAAAGGAAGGCCCAGCAGTTTCGGAGATACAGAGCTAAATGCTAAAAAGATGGCAGTTTTTGAGAGAACTAAGCGTCCGATTTAACTGATTCAAAGAACATTCTGCTTGTTTCAACAAAATATGGCTTTGGAACAAATTTTGTTTCTATTTTTTTTCTATAAAATATTTTTGTAATTTTGGATTAAAAATTGAAAAAATAACCCAGGCTAAGCACAGTCTAAGCGCCACTCTGGTACAAATGCATTCGCAAGTGCGTTTAGACTGTTTATGCACTGGACCACTTTTCAGATTTTGTAAAAAACTATTGAAAAATGTGAAAATGCCGCCAAGCTAAGCACAATACAGTGAAAATGTCGCACAGAATTATTTGCAAATGCGTTTAGACTGTGACTACACGGGAGCACTTTTGTCAATTTTGTGTAAATTAGGCAACTATTTTTTTTTTTAAATTGAATTCGAAATGAAATGACGATTGTTAATAGATAGGAGATAAACTCTGGATATTTATGATTTACATTTGATTTGCTCAGATATAACAAGATACAAGCAAAAATAATGAAGTCACAGTATTTGTAATATAACGTTTAAAATTTCTCGAATATTTCATTACGGTACGGGAAGTTCCAGCAATTTGCCTTAAGGCACAGATGTCATACACCACTAGTTTTTAATTATTTTATACAAAAAGCGAGCATCGACTTTGCCCCCAGGCTAAAACTAGAATTATCTATTTAAAAGATGCATAATTAGTTTTCAGAACTTTTAAAGAACATAATCCAATTTATCGCGAGAAGGATTTATATGAAAATAATATGAAAGTTCTTCATAATTTATGTGAGAAACCGAAAAGTTTCCCTTCAAATAAATATATTTCCAAGCAGTTTCATCTAATACTTTTCCACTGGACATATGGAATATATCCACAGCACTTTTCTATATTGGATGTAGTTTTTTTTTTCACTTTTTCTGAAGCGAAACGTGAGAAATAATTCATTCATGGACGATGGAGACTCTTCGTAGTTTTTTTTTTGCCGATATAAAAATAAATTGCACTTGCGCGTTGATTAGTCTTTTATAAAAATTGGATCGATATATTATATCAATTTGTAATTCAGAATGATATTTTATGAGTTTACATAAATTATTTTATATATAGAGCTTATTAAGGCAAATTTTAAACGTTTTCAAATATATTATTACAAATACAAATACTGTAACATTCATTATTTTTGCTATAATATTGTTATATCTGAGCAAATCAAATGTAAATCATGAATCAATTATTATTATCGTCATTTCATTTCGAATTCAATTACAAAAAAATATATAGTAGCCTAATTTGC